TTAAGCCCAAGTCGTCACCTCTTTCGTCTCCTCTGTCTGGCCCTCGGAGGCTATGCGTGCGGCTTCCACAGCTTTGGCTGCCTGGCGTGCTGCAGGTTCAGGGTGTCGAGGCTTCGGGTCCGGGGTGCAAGGGTCCAAGGTTTTGGGCTTGAGGGTTTCGACAAACAATGGAGAGTTCACGGAATGCCAGTAGAATTGGCTTTCAGACTGGCACAGGACATGCACGACCATGAACAAGCGCCGATTGCTCCCATGCCAAATCCTGGCCAGTTTTGCCCCTGCACGCAACAGGTCTGTTGCGGTATCTTTGGTCTCCTGCGGCTTTGCCGGTACTGGGTCGGAGGCTTGTGCCGCCGCCTGTGGTGCAGGTTGCTGTGCCATTTGCTGCGCTTGGGCAGCCTGTACTTGGTACTGCCACTGCTGCGCCTGCATCTGCTGGAACTGTAGCTGCTGTGCCTGCTGCTGAGCCTGTATCTGCTGCGCATGTAGCATCTGCTGCTGCTGCTGCCTGAGTGCGACAGTGCACATGCAATCAGTTTGCCAACATCCACTGCTGACTCTGCAGCACAGGCTTTGATCGTGACAAGCAGGCACACTGTAGACTAGAGATTTCACGTTTCTGGCAAATGTGATAATTACTGATAGTTCAAGTATGCTCTGGGTTTCGGCGAGTCCGTGAAAACAAGGTCTGGAAGTGTAGGGTCTACTGGAAAGCAGTCACACCCGGCTGGTTTCTCTATCGCCAATCTAGTGCCAAGGTCAACAGAACTATCACAACGTCATAGTGGCGTCAGTATTACATCTGACATAGCCACAGCCAGCGAAGCCACGGCAACAAGCATGCCAATATGAAAAGAATGCAGCGCAAGATAATGAGGCCATCTGCCTCTTACCCAGAGACTCCAATATCCCTTAATTAAGGAATATACCTTAAAATGTAATGGGATCCCTCATATGATTTAAGGAATATTCCTTAATTAAGGGATATTGGAGTCCCCTAAACCTTAACCCTATAGTCTATAGTAGATCCCTTAAAAGATTCCTTAAAGGAGCCTCTGGGTATAGTCCCTACGACCCTAAAAGGACGCTGAGCTTCCAGCTGAGCTGCGGCCTGGCCATACAAATTCGTAGCTCAAAGGACAGGTTATGTTTGTAGCGTTATAGGTGTCTAAGTATGCATCTGTGTCTGCGAATACATCTATATAAAAAAAAACGTATATATATGTATATAGATATATACAAATATATATGGATATATATATATATATATATATATATATATATATACATTTACATTTACATATACATTTACATATACATATACATACACATACACAACCACATACACACATACACACATACACACATACATACATGCATACATACATACATACATACATACATACATACATACATACATACATGTGTGTATATACATATAAACACATGCATATGCATACAACCTGTAGACGTGAGATAGACAGCCAACGCTACTTGTCACGTCTGCTTAACTGTGTGTGGGTGGCAGGAGCTTGGTTTGGTGGGCTTTGGGGCATCGGGGTTGAGGGTTCAAGGCTTTCAAAAAAGGGGAGCTCGGAGTCTTAGGATTAGGAGTCCAGGGTGTAGGGTTTGAGTCTAGGCCAACTTAGGGACTTTGGCGGTAATAGTTGGGCTTTGGAAGTGTAGGTTGAAGAGCTTTTGCATCGTTTGGTTTTGCCTTTTGCCGTCTGTCTCTCTGTCAGGCTGTCTGGCGTTTCTTCGCAAATCGGTAGAGCATGTGCATATGTGTATGTATATATACACGCATACATCTTACAGAAGCATGATTGAATGTTCATACCGTCCATGCCACTGTGTGATTGCACACCCATCTTGCTCTCCCAGGCACGTATCAGCAGATGCACGCGCAGCAAGACTTACCTTTGGTTAGTAGGGAATGGAGGAATGGGGTACAACTACTATTACCACCATTACTCCATTCCCACTAACCAAAGGTAAGAAGAGGCAAAGGACTTTCAAGACTCGAGCCTGCTGGTATTGCTCGTACTGCTGCTGCTGGAGCTCCGCCTGCCTGACATCAACGGGTAATACTTGGAGGATTATGGGACCTAGTAAGTAAGGTTATAAGTACCGTAATTGGGGTTATAAGTAGTTATAAGTAGAGTTACCCTAATTATAACCCCAGTTGCTATTTCCCATGATCCTTTAAGTAGGGAGAATCACAGCACGACTGACAATAAATCTCGTTAGCTTATGCTACTCAGTACTCATGGCAGTAAATCACGAGCAAGATTCGTAGCGATCGCAATAACTAATGTGTTCGACTGCAACTGCAGCAGCATCTGCAAAGTGGACTATGATATTCGGCAGCACTGCTAGAGACGGACAGAACAGGGCTTAAACATCTTTAAAATGCGCTACCCTGAAGATCTCAACCCAAGTTCAAAACCTAAAACCCTCACAACTCGAACCCAAACAAGCCTGAACCCTAAAACACCTA